CAAGGGCCATGCTTAGCTGTCTCTCTGGCTCCAGTCTGGTGTCTGGCAGAGTAAATGTTCAATACATGTAACCAGTGCCTTTGGGGTCCCCCGGATCTCTCATGCATTTTCATTGGGTCATAGCCCAGAGTCAACTAGTTGACTGTTAATTCTGTAGTCTAGCCAACTCAGTACTTTTTGTAAATAATTGCATTGTTGGAAGATGACTTCCCTCATCCCAGGAATAGTCTTGGTAATGCAGAATTTCATTTTCTAGCCTCGCAAAGTATGAAAGGATCATAATTGAGTTTGATAAGAAACACAGCTGGATCTTCCCCCAGCCCTCCGTAATTTGTATTTTGTGTATTTAAACCTCTCATCCACAAAATTGTCCGGGTGTCCTGCCACAAAACTGTCACTCTCCATTCATGCCGTGTCCCTCTTCAATTTCCCATGGTCAGTTCATAATGTCCCCAGGTTATTATAGGCCCTTAAAGACCAGAATACAAATTGTGTTTCATTTAGCATCTCTTCTGAACAGAAAGATCTTCTGTGGGTAATCCTGACCCTGCTGCACAAAAACTACATTGGCAATGGAAGATGGTAAGAGAGGGGCCTTAGAATGCCAAGTGTGCTCATCTGGTGGTTGGGGTGGGGAGTTAACCTCAAAACAGTCATATTTCAGAAATTTACATGTTTGTTATACATTGACAGACTTTATATTTCACTGCTACTGAATTCCAAGTCACAAAATCTTCCAGATGACCTTGAATGAAACTGACATCTAAACCCTTAATTTTGAGCTCTCCTTCCATTAACAGTGGAATTTACTAGAATTTCCCTTCTGCATTATTTCTAAAATTCTAAGAAGAAACTACTAATTCATATACCCAGAGGCCTACACATAAAGTAGTGCACTTACATGAAGCTAATACACACTAATACCAGTGGACTGACACCACTTGTAACCCATCAGGTACGTTATTGTATTTCAGTAAGCCTATTCCTTGTATAAATTAAAAAAAAAAAAAAAAAAGATGGCTAAAAATTACACAGCCACTATAATATTCAGGCTATGGGAATTCTCAGGCTTTTGCAATGTCAGATGTCTGGTCGGAATGAGTTCTGTTCAACAAGGAGACAGTAGATTACGTGATGCTTATAAAACTGCAGGATCCCAGCTTCAGTGCATGGCACCATTTGAAGTAATGCAACGCACCTCCCAGTGGCTTCTGTTGGGATGGAGCACCTGCCAGGGGGCGTTGCAAAGGACAGGGTGCAAGTCACAGCTCTACTGGCCTGGGAGGGGAGTAGGTGGCCAGGAGAGGAAGATGCTTGCTAGTGGACCAACATCTTGTTGTTTTTCTTTCCACCGTTTCTGTTACTGATGTGGCTGCATTCACTGTTGAGACAAACCGGGAACTGGTTTCGGTTGATTCCTGTAATTCTTCACAGGCATCTAGTACTTGTATCAGCATATGATTGTTGTCCAGAAATTGATTGTCTGGATAAAATAAGTGATTACCAATGAGAATTGTGTTAGATAGAATAATTGCTCTCCAGAGACACCCGTCTTAACCTCTGAAGCATGTGAATATGTTGTATTACATGAGAAAAGGATAATGTTCAAAGACCTGAAAGTCAGGGAGATTTTTTGATTATCCTTTGGATCACTGTCGTCACCTGAGCCCTTCCCTGGAGAGGCCTCTCCCAGCTGCTTCAGGGTACGGGAGCAGCGCTGGACATGGCCGCGGTTTCGTTGGGTGTGATCCGCTGGTCCCCAACGTCTGTCTCTTACAAGATGCCACCGGCTTAGAAAACCTGATCTCCATTGGGTCTCTTCATTGCTTACATGTCGTGTGTTACCCCAAGGGGCGTGTTAGGCAGCTTATTCCTCTGAATTTATCTTGAATATAATGCTGCGCTTGCTTTTGCCCTCCTTGTGACAGTTTCCTGTGCTCTTTCTCCTGTTTCTCAGAACGCCCGTCTCCTGTAAAGCCCACTGACTGAAGAAGGAGACCCTTTACTATTTCCTTTCTTGCAGGTTTCCTGTTGGTGAATCTTTTAAGTTGCTGTTTGTGTGGCAGTATCTCTCTTTCATCTTTAATTATGAAAAAAATTCCTACAAGGTGTAGAGGCCAGACTGGTTTTAACGTGTTGCAGACACCTCCATGGTGAGCTCTTCCCACTGGTGCTTCTCATAGGCCATCTGAGCGAAGCATCTGTGTGACCACTCTTATTTTGAACATTGGTGATTCTGGTTATTCACCAGGTGATTTCCTTCTATTTAAAAAAAAAATATTTATTTATTTATACAAGCACTGGGTACAGTCAGAAGCGCAGGAGGGTGAGAGAATTCACCAGAGCCAGAGCAGGGAACAGAACAGGCAGACTGACGAAATACACTGCTGAGGGGAGCAGCAGGCACAGCAGGAGAGGTCTGCGTACCATGTGGGACCCTTGCCAGCAGCTGGGGATGAAACCGGTGCTGCAGAGGCTACAGGCAGCTTTGCAGCCTAGCGCTCAACCGCTGAGCAACCGGGGAGGCCCTGATTTCCTTCTGTTCCTGTAAAGTATAAATTGTATTTATGTCTATTAAGACTGTTCCTGCCTCAGAGATGAACATCCATGAGATGGGTCAACTAACACTGGCTTTCATCTCCTCCAAAATAGTCGTGGGTGTAGGAAGTAGAATAGCTTATTTAGGGCATTAGGTTGCAGCCCAGAGAGGCTCTCAGCAGCCTTGCCCTATCTTTCTAGTCTCGATTTCTCTAATAGTTCTCAATAAATACTTATAACAGTAACTGACAGACCATGTCTTACTTTGGAGAGGGTGACAGGCTTGCATTTTTTTTTTAATAATCTAAGGCCTAGATCTAAGCTTAATTGTCCTCTGTCATTTTAGTAGAACAACAACACCCTTAAATGCTAAATCCTTTTGCTCCCATTTTTCTTTAAAAGGCTGAAAGCTGTGCCTTTGAATGCCTGGGCACATGCCAGCTCCCTGCCACCCTCACCTTGTGGCTGGCAGCCCTGCTAGCCCTGCTGCTCATTCCTCAGTGCTCTGGTATGTCCTCGCTTTGCCAAATAACTGGAAGATTTGGAGAACAGGAAATAAGCTGCTGGGAGATAAGGCGGGCAGCTCCAACTGGAGACGAGGAAATGAGAATCCCAGCCAGGCAAGCGACATTAGTAGTTAGACTTTATTTTTAAACCAAGAATCACTGGAAAGTCGTCCCCCACACACACACACTCCCCTGCGTAGGGGAGCAACCCGCCCATTCAGTCACATGGGTTAGAACTCACAGCAAAGAAGTGTGCAGACGGGGCTGCATTTCTGTTTCCTGCCGCATCACAACCTGTGACGAACTACAGGAAGGGCACATGGAGTCCGAACTTACCTGTTCAGCATCTCCTCTGTGTTGTCAATGGCCCGGAAATCCTTAACACTAGAAACGCCTTCACGATACCTGCTACCACTGCTTTGTGATCATGTGGGGCTGTGACTGTGCAGGCGGTTTTTATGAAGGTGGGGGGAGGTGTCTATGTTAAGTGACTGTGCAGCTGTCTCCAGCCGTGGGTGGGAAGGACAGAAAGGCGAAGGCCAGGGAAGGTGACTGACCTCTAGACTCCAGCAGGCGAAGGGAGCCCTGGTGCGGAGAGCTGGTCATGGAGTCCAGCACAGCCTTAGTTGTCACATTTCACCCCATGGAGGCAATTCTGAGGCACACCTGCCATCCTGGCCATCGCTGGCAATGGTGGCTGTGGGGGCTTGACTGGCCGCGTGCACACTGTGCCCCAGGGCACTCAGCTCAGGCCCTTCCCAGACCTGAGAGGAGCTCGTGACGCTGGTGTTCATGGACCCTCAGAGCCGGGGACTGCCAGAGTGCCCTGTGCATCCGTGGAAGTTGACTTTGGCCTGGGACTGTCAGCCAGATCTGGCCTGGCTGGCAATAGCCAGGCCTCCAAAGATGGCAACCGTTCTTTGATTTTTGAAGGTTTTTAAAAAGCACTGTAGTAGCCTTACTTCTGAAGTGGGTGATAAGTTCCTCTTGGAAAATCATGCTCTTGCTGGCTGACTAAGTCAGCTGGTTGATGCACGCCCATCGCTGTCCATGTATCCAAGGGTGTCTGACTCCAGCTGGACTTCTGGCTTCCTGAGGCCTCATCTGCTCCCTCTCCGCATCGGCCATGTAGCACCTCACATGTGACCCCAGGGTGACAGATGGTGTGGCTGACTTCATCGGTACCGGTCACCAGCAGGGCCGTGGGTGACACTCATAACCTTTGCTGTGTGCTCCCGAGCTGCAGGGCGGGGGGCTCCTGGCCTCTGGGGGAGCCACCCCTCAGGGTCCTGCGTCGTTTGATCCCACAAAGCACCTACCAGAAGGTCTGCCTTTCAGATGAGGGAGTGACTGTTCCAGGTTCAGGAGTTTTTCAAGTTAAGTTTTTATATACTCAAAATTTTTGAAGCTCAATGTTTCTTCGTGTGTCTTCTGTGACAAACCTGAGAAAACCTAAGATATTTCCACTGTGTATATGCTGAATTATTTGGAAGTAAGATAATCTAGAAAAGACAGAACATTTCACTTAGGGAGAAAAATGAAATCAAATAGACCCTTTGCCAGAAGCACCTCGGAGGATCCAAATTGAACATGGAATCACAGCACCGAGCATGTCGACCCACCCCTTTCCTCTTCTGATGAAATAAATGTGATGCCCTGATTAAAGTCATAGCAGAGTGTGTGAAAATTGTTTTCCGTAACGTGTACCATCGGCTCCTTGCCCTGATGCGAGGCCGGGCCGGGCCGGGCGGACTCTGACTCTGTGTTTCTAAGGCTCAGGCATGTGCTGCGTGACAGAAGCCGTGTCCTGTGGGCCTGCCCCTCAGCGAGCCCCACATCTCCCCCGGCCTCCCCGCCACCACACGTCCTCCTTGCTCCCAAGTGGTCGCTCTGCAGCGGTGGCCGCCACCCCCAACCCGGTCTCTGCTGGGGGTAACTGGCCTCGCTGTCTTCCAGGTGGTGCTGGTGAGGTGGAACGAGCCATACCAGAAGCTGGCCACGTGCGACGCAGACGGCGGCATCTTCGTGTGGATCCAGTACGAAGGGAGGTGGTCGGTGGAGCTGGTCAATGACCGTGGTGCCCAGGTGAGTGCCCCCCATGGGGTGGCCGAGCGGGAGCGCAGACCCGTCATCAGGGGAAAAGGAAACTCTTTCCAGAAATAAGTAAAATTAGAATCCCGTGTTTCATCCCTTTTGAGTTTAGCACTAGATAAAAAGAGGAAGCTCATACTTGCTTCTCTTTAACTGCGCTGCTGTGGTGAGAACTCTCCAAGTTTTAAGCCTTAATTAAATCTGTGAAATCATCTTTTTGCCACTCAGTGTTGTGATTACATGTTAAATTTGGATCCTCTGAAGTGCTTCTGGCATCTCACTTTTTTGCTCCCTCTTAAAAGGTATTTTCCCTGCGCTGTGATCTCGCACAGGGACACCACATGACTGTTTCTTGCAACCTCCTCACCAGGCTGGGTTTTTAACACTCTCTTCTATCAGGTTTCAATTAGCGTGGCCACCTGTTGTCAGCCCTTCGCTCTTCCGTTCCGATACCAATTGTCACCGTCCTGAGGAAAACAAATGCTTCAGGGCCGCCCTGTTGAGTGGGGTTATTTTTACAGCTGCCTCATGGATCCCTATGGTGTGTGGTCCAGCCCCAGCTCTTCTTCCCACTGGAGGCCGGGGCCCCTGGTGTCTGGGTCCCTGAGGGCTACTTCTCCTGCAGTTAGGGACACAGGTCCTGTCCTGGGGCTGTGATAGAGCTGCCTTCAGAGGCACATCCTCAGGGGACCTTCATTGATGAGGCATCTTTTAGATTCTCTTTGCTCTGCATGAGGACATTTCTGAAGGACTGGGTTCTCTCTGTTGCTTAAATAAGCCTTGAGCTTCTCAGCTTTGGAAGGTACACACCAGGGACGGGACAGAAAGCAGCCAGTCCTGAACTGTGGTCAGCAGTTCCTGTTAGCCAACTAACAGGCATCAGCACATCGTGAGACATCAGCACAAAAGACAACTTCTCGGGTGAGAGCAGTTGTTCCTTTGTGACCGTCTGGCTGGGTGTAGGTAACGGCATTCAACTGGCTCTGGAAAGGCCTGGTCAGCTTCCTGTATATCTCTATGGAGGGGCAGAGGAAGTGACCGGGCTTCCTCCATGATGACTGCCTCGTCTTTTTGAAAGTAAGCTGCAGATGTGGGGATCTCGGTCGCTGTGAGACATTTGGCAACATCAGAGTTTGAACCCTGGTTTGAGATGGAAATGCCTTGTACCACACCGTCTCACCCACGTGGGAGACACTTCTCATTTAGTGCCAGTGCCTGTATTCACACTATATGCAAAAGAGACATCCTTCCTGGAGTTGGCCCTCCTGCCCACCGGCTTGGCCACCATGCATCTCCCCTGTCATAGCCTCTGAGGAGGAGACTTCTGACACCTGCACGCGGCTGCAAGGCCCTCAGCTCCTCTGCTTATTGAGCGTGTGGTACAAACAGGATGCCAGAAATAAGTGAGGATGAATCCAGACTGGGTGCTGAGTGAGCAGTCATGGTCTGTAGAGCCCCTGGAACCTCACGCATGCCTCTGCCCTGCAGGCTCAACCAAAGTGACCACTGTGTCGAAGTGACCATCTGTCATCCTGGAGGCATTAGAACCCACCAAGTGGTTGTCACTGTTGAACACTAGCCTTGGGGAGGTTTTTTTAGCTTTTAATTGTGTGGGAGTCTGATCTTATCTGAGACAAGAGACATGGAAATGATGACCCGCTGGTTGAAGGAGTTGGGGCTCTGGGCACCTGAAGCCCTACCTGGTGGAGGAGGGACAGAGGAAGAGCATCTTTGAAATCTGCACTGAGCAAGAGAATACTTATACAAAAAAAAATCACAGGGGTCCTGTTCTAGAGGCTGCCTTTCGTTGTCACAAAGTAATCAACCTTTTGGCAAAAAGCAAAGCGATGCTTTAACAACGTCTTTCAGGAAATGGTTGTGAGTCCTTTGTTTCAGCAGAGAGCCTGGAACACGCAGGCCTTGTGTCTTGGTGTCAGTCACCCCGGGGTGGCTGTGCCAGGCACGCGCTCCCGGGGCGGACTGAGAGGAGTGGCCATGGCGGTGGGCCAGCCAGGTCTCTGTCCAGTGGCTGTGCACCCGCGTCTGTGTACCCTCGCTGGCCCTCAGTACCTGACCACCAGAAAGAAGGGGCTTTCTGCTGATTCTTTTCATTGATACTTGTTTTTCCAGATGTGACATGCACTTATCACTCTGTGCTGATCTAATTTAATAAACCCAATTGGTTCATGTAAACATCCCCTGTTATTTTTGTGACAATAAGATTCATGGTGTCTGGAAGAACCTCCTTTTCAGGGCTTTGCACTTTAACCCCCTATTAAGGTGTTTTTTTCTCTTTGTACAAACCTGTTCAATGACAAGTGAGTTAACATGCATGTAAATAAGTAGTTTCATCTTTGCAAAGTGAAAGGAGGGTTGACATTTTTTTGCAGAATGCAGTATATTGTCCCTAAAAAAACGTTTTAGGTTCGTCATAAACACTAGGTAATGTAATTGGTGGAAACGCAAATCAATGAAACTAAGGTTCTGTGTTGAACTATGGAAACAGCTTTTTCCAGTGACTTTAGTCCCGCTGTTGGAAAGCTGTCTCACATATCCATCCTGAGGTCGTGACGGTGATGTGGCTGATCCCTCAACATAAACCGTGACCCTGGTAGGAAAACACCCAAATTTCATGTCTTTGGGGTGTTTGTTCATTTTATCATCTGAAATGTGACATATCCAGTAATGTACAAATTTTAAAGAAAGTTTAACTTTTCTAATTATAAGCAATAATGAGATAGAGTTTTTTTTTTTAGTTAGAAAAGATAAAGAAACAAAATATAGTGCAAACTGAAAAAGTAAGTTAAGGTGATAGAAATGGGACCAAATATAGCAACAAATAGGATAAATGCAAAGGACTAAATTTACCAATTAAAAGATAATACTTGATGAATTATATTTTTGAAAAATACAGCTAGGGTGAGTCCTTCGAAAATGTCATTTCATCCAGCATCATTTTATTATAATGTTGGTAAGAAAAAGACAGTTGATTCCCCACCAAGGCCATGTCTGTGTGGTCATTCTGGCACATTCTCCCCCTTGTCTGGGTGGGTTTTCTGGTCCCCTCTCATGTTCTAAGGATGTGCATGTAAGAGTCTTTGGTGTCTCAGTTGTCCCTGCCTGATTGTGTGTGTGTGGGTGCATGAGTGTGTGTGCATGTGTATGCGTATGAGTGCATGAGTGTGTGTGAGTGTATATGTGAGTGTATGTGAGTATGTGCATGTGTGTGAGTGTATATGAGTATGTGTGCATGTGTGTGTGTGTGAGTGTGCCCTGCTGTGGAGGGTGTTCTGTTCAGGGCTGGCTCCTGCCTGTGCCCTGAGCTTCTGGGGTGGACTCCAGCCCCTTCTGACTCTGAACTGCAGTGATCTGGTTTGAAAACGAATGAATGAATTCAAATAATTGTTTCACATTAGAAGTATTTTTGGTCTTTATTTGTAAGTTTGGTAATGTTTTGTGAGCAGAAATATGCTGTAGGAACTTAACTCTTTTTTATATTAATTTACACATTATAAAATTGGTTCCTTACTAAATGGTTTAGCTTAAAGTCACAGTTTCCAAGAACCTATCAACTATGTTAGATGGGGACTTATATATTGCTATTAAGAGCTACATGTAAAACTTAAAACATGTAAATGGGACATGTTTTAAAAACATGTAAAACTTGTATGTACAAGTGTAAAGTGAAAGGATGAAAAAGGTAATATTGGACAAATAGCAAGGAAGAAAGAAAGATAAGGCAGCTAGTATTTTTATCAGATAAAACTAGCTTAAGGACAGAAAGCAGCTTGGTTTATAGAGTGTTAGCACATAATAATAAACTTGTCGTTTACCAAGAGAATATTTATTTTTCAAAAAAAAAGATTTATTTATTTATGCATACAAGAACTGGGGTGTAGGCCAGAGATGTGGGGTGGGGGGTGAGAGGATTCACCAGACAGTGGGGAACAGAACAGGTAGATCTACTGAAATCCACTGCTGAGGGGAGCAGCAGGGAGACAGGAGAGGTCTGATGTGCCTGGCTGGGATTCAACTCAGGCCATAGCGCTGAGATGTAACCCATGTAACCTGGAGGCCCCAAGAGATTATTTTAAATATGTATCTATCTATTAATAATAGCATCAAAATAGATGAAAAAATGAGAGAAAAGTTTGATAAGTTCATTGACATGCTCAGAGGCTTCAACAGCAACAAAGATCACAGAGACACAGGACAACCCCCATAACAGACTTGATCTAGTGGACTTTCATGATTTGAATCCATCAATTGGAAAATACACATTTTTCTCAGATGCAGACATGACATCTACAGGCGTGCTCTAGGGCTCCACAGGCTGTGGAGGACGTGTAGTACATATGTGATAGGACGTGTAGTACATATCTCAAATTTTGTAGACTAGGAGCTGAATTTGAGGGTATCATGTAACTTTATAACAAGAAAGAAAACACGTTTCCAGAAAACTTTTATTAGTGAAATTAAAAACCAAATGGACACTACAATTAGAATGTCGTGTTATTTCACACCTGGCAGAAGAGCATTGTTCTGTTGTTACTATTTTTCCCCCCTAACCATTTAAGCCTGTCCGTAGCATGCAGACTCTGTGAATACAGGCGGCAGGACAGAGTCACCTCAGGGACCACACTTTGCTGACGCCTGTTTTAGGGCATAAATAAAATCTGAGCAGAGCTCAGGTGGTAGGTGCCGTGATTTCTGAATACAGGGCAACTAGGTGGAAGTTAATAACAAGGTGCATGAAGACATTCTTGCATATTCGTTAACTTTTTAATGCATTGTTAAATAGCTTGCAGGTTAAAGAATAAATTTAATGGACTTTGCATAAACCTAGCCCAGATGATAATGAAATCATGTCATAATTTATGAGCTATAGTTAAAGTGGTGACATAAGAGAAATACATGCCTTAATTATTTAGATTAGAGGGGAATAAACTAATCATTCGTCAGGTAAGTGTCAAATCTAATGAGGAAAGTTAGAAAAGGTAATAAAAATAAAAATGGAAATTAATGTAGTAGGAAAAAAGTGATTCAGTAGAGATCAACAAATTCTTCTATGGAAGCAAGCTAACAGAATAGATAAACTGCTGGTGAGACTGATTAAGAAAAAAAAGAAAATACCTAAAATGATTTTGTGAATGAAAAGTTGATTTTGAAGGGAATTAGTAAATGCCTTGGATAAAACTCAATACCCAAGTTTAAGTAATGTTTTCCAGTTAGAGTTTTGTTTTCTCTTTGTTGGAGGGTATATTATTAGACTGAGTAGGGCTTATCTCCAGAAACAGAGCTTTGTTGCTTTGATAAATGACCAAGAGACTGATGGCAACTCTGTTACTCTCCATAGTGGGAGGCTGCCGAGCAGCGGCTGGAAGCAGGGATCCTGGAACCCCAGGGCTCGGTCAGTCTTGGCTGTGCCCCTCCTCCATCTGTTTTCTCTGTAAACGGGCATGATGGGGCCTTCGGGGAGAGGGCGGGGGGCTGAATTATGCGTGTCAGGGACTTAGTGCTGCAGCGACACGCACTTTTCCAGCACTCTTTCATGTTGTATGTTAGTGCTGTGACGTGTCGTACATTGCACATGGGTTTTGTGAGTGTTCTTCCTAAAGCCATCTTGGGCTCAGCCAAGGCTAAGCTGGTGATTGCATCTAGTCTTTGGTAGCGATGTGTTTCCTTCCAGATTGACTTCTTTCTGTCTGTGTGTGTCTCAAGGTGAGTGATTTCACGTGGAGCCACGATGGGACCCAAGCGCTTATTTCCTACCGAGATGGGTTTGTCCTGGTCGGTTCTGTTAGTGGACAGAGACACTGGTCATCCGAGATCAACTTGGAGAGTCAAATCACGTGTGGCATCTGGACTCCCGATGACCAACAGGTAACGTGGAACCCGTGAGTGTTGAGGAGGAAATGAGTTAAATCCCCTCCCCTGGGGGATGAGGGGGCTGGAGGGGCAGCTGCTCAGGAGCCTCTTAAAGATTCAGAGAGGGAAAGACAGTGAAAGTGTCCAGGAAAAATTACAAGGGAAATGTGAAATGAACCGTAGGCTGGAGAAATAATATTTCCCAGCTATCTGGTAAACGTCGAGTTAACGTTTTAATTATAGGAAATGTTCACACACCTTCTCTTTTGAGTCTGTGAGTGGGTGGAACCAGCATAAACAGGAACAGCATAAACAAGCCAGAGAGGCCGGGCGGTGCGGAGAGAACGGGGATGAGATGGGCCGGAATGCCCAGCGCAGGCTGGCGCTTTTTGGCGATGACCCCCTGGGTAGTTTTTTAAAACCTCATTTTAAAATTTTTTCTCAGGTGCCTGTTTTACTTTCATGATAATTTATATAATCACCTAGTGAGGTTATTTATTGATTAGTCATCTTTTAAATATAAAAGTTGACTAGTTAAATCCTTCTAAATAAAAAGCTCACGTTTTCCCAGCACACCAGAACCCACGGGCTGCCAGCGCGCCCAGGACCTGTCTGGGTGGAAGCCGGAGTGCCGTTGGGCTGGGGCTTTGTTTTGAGTGACTTTCCTGTTTCACTGAATTGCTTTCTTCCTCCAGTCACTACATGTTTCTTTCTTTTTTTTTAATTTATTCATGCATACAAGAACAGGGGTACAGGTCAGATGTGTGGGAGGGTGAGAGGATTCTCCAGAGACAGAGCGGGGAAGAGAACAGGCAGATTGACTGAAATACACTGCTGAGGGGAGCAGCGGGTGTGACAGGAGAGGTCTGCCCCACCATGTGGGTATCTCCGTGGCCGGCAGGTATCGAACCAGCACTGCAGAGGCTGCGGACAGCTTCACAGTGCTGCGCTTAACCACCTACACCACCAGAGAGGCCTAGTCAGTCACTGCATAGTTCATGTTTTTATTTTTTTCAAGTAAAAGTGGTCAATATTTTTTTCTCCTCTCAAAATGACTATTATGAAAATTACAAAAAGGTTTTTTTTTTTTTTTTTTTAAAAAAAAGATTTATTTATTTATACATGCACTGGGTACAGTCAGAAGTGCAGGAGGGCGAGAGAATTCGCCAGAGCCAGAGCGGGGAGCAGAACAGGCAGACTGATGAAAAAGTACACTGCTGAGGGAAGCAGCAGGCACGGCAGGAGAGGTCTGCGCATCATGTGGGACCCTCACCCGGTAGCTGGGGATTGAACCGGTGCTGCAGAGGCTGCGGGCAGCTTCGCAGCCCAGCGCTCAACCCCTGTGCAACCAGGGAGGCCCACAAAAAGATTTCTTAACCCCAGGCCTTCCTTGCCCCCTCACTAGGGTTGTGAGCATGCGATGCCATTGGGTGGATGTTTCACGGAGGTTTATCCACAGATTCTCTCTGCCACACTATCTCCTCCAGGGGAGGGCTCAAGGTCCAGTAGGTAACCTTGTGGCCATCACCTCTCCCCACTGTGACAGGGTGTGCATTGTTTCCTGCCTACTTCCTAGGGCTTTGCAATGATCAAACAAGGCAGCAGCTGCTTAAAGACACTTCCGTGCACAGTGTGGCTTTGCATCCCCTTACCTGGGGTGGAGGCTTATGCCCCAGTTCCCCTGATGAGCCAGGTCAGCCAGTGTTCCCACAGACTGCACACCCGGAGGTGACAGGCTGGGACCCAGTGATGCCAGGGGTAGGATGTGGCCCTGCTTTCAGATCACAGGGTCAGGTTATGGGGCGTTTGGGACACAGACACGTGTGTCGGCGAGTCCCTGGGTAGTGGCTGACTGGTGTGATGGCTTGAGGGGCGGAAACTGGCTGCAGCTTCAAGCCCTGGATGCACTTGGACCTGGGTCTGGAGACCTGTCAGGCGGCCAGTGGGCCGCCTGGCAGGTGCTTAGTCTCCTGGCCCCCCTGCCTGTGTGCCAGTGACCACAGTTAGTGGTTCTGAGGGTTAACAGGAGGGATTTTGGGCAAGGAAAGTGCTCCACTGCCTGTAAAAAGGGGTCACAACCACTGAGGCACTGAGCCTCCCCTGAAGGGTTTAACAGAGAGATGCAGCTGTTGGCCACGTCTGAACTGAAACTTGGGAAAATCTTCCTCCTCTGCTTCAGCCATTCTCCTCTCTCTTGCTTGTTTTGAAAAAATTCTCTATGATGAAGCAGTAAAGGCGGCCTGAGGTTGGTCGTGAATCCTGAGCTGCTGTGTTGGCGGTCGATGACAGGCGGGGGTGGACATGAGGGGCCGGGCTGCTTCTGTCTGGAGATGCTCCTGCGCTTAAGGTGGGCTCAGCAGCCTCCAGGATCAAACAGATTGCCTTCTCGTGTCCTGAGATAGTTCTGCTCTCAATGGGGCTTGAGGCTGCTTCCTATCAACTTCTTAAAATACAAGCAGTGCTGACTTACACGCAGGGAGTTTGAAGTCTAGCTGTTTTCCCATTACTGTCTTCACTTTAGAGTGATGTCCCTTTTGGGGGTTATGAATTTATCAGGTGGAAGTCAGGGGCCTTCCTGGAAAAACGTGTCCATTACAGACACGGTGATCCTTGTCACTTAGGCCTGATGACCTGTCACTTTGCATAAAATTTGGGAGCTCCTAGGAGTCCGTCCACGGATTCTCTCTCTTTGGGTCTGGATCTTGATCATTTAGAGGCAATTCTTGGGGTAATTGTCCCCAACTTTCTACTGTGCACATGTTCAGATATTACAAAGAAGTTGAGAGAACACACTGTCTTAAATCCCTCCTTTGTGGTCTCTCTCCCTGTCTCCCTCCTGCTCTCCCTCCCTCTTCATACACCCACATTTTTTATAGTACTGTTTTTGAAAATAACTCATAGACATGTGTACACCTCTAAATACTTCAACAGGTGTGTCCTAAGAATAAAGCCCCATTCTCACACCTAAGAAATTAGCAGTGATATTTTCTATTCTGAAGGCTATTTTAATGTTCATAATTGTCACAAATAGAATACTGCCTTTTTTGCTATTTGAAATAGGGACCTGGTTTGGTTCCTATACAGCAGTTGGCCATTAAGTTTTTAGTGTACAAGTTTCCTCTTTTTAAAGCCTTTTGCGACACTGCCTTCTGATGAGTTCTGAGTATACCTGGTAGAATGTCCCACACTTTGCATCTGTCTGGTAGTTTACTCGTAGTATCACTTAATTACTTCTTTCTCTAGTCCCTGTATTTCTTTCTTTTTTTTTTTTTTAAGATTTAGGTTTATATGTTCATGCATAGAAGAACTGGGGTGTAGGCCAGAGGTGCAGTGGGTGAGAGGATTCACCAGAAACAGAGTGGAGAACAGAACAGGTGGATCTACTGAAATACACTGCTGAGGGGAGCAGCAGGGAGACAGGAGAGGTCTGCTGTGCCATGTGGGTCAGCTCCCTGGCTAGGGATTGAACTCTTGCTGTAGTAGCTGGTGATTGCTTAATAGTACTGAGACTTTAACCCCTATGCCTCCAGGGATGCCCCCTGAATGTCGTTTAAACTGGAAGCTAAATTTAAATTACAGTGGTATTAAGCAATTTTGGTAAGACTAGATTACAGGTGACATTATTTATACTGAATCACATTAGAAGGTATGGTGTATCATGTTACCTCACTGTGAGGGTTGCTGAGTTTGACAGAACATTTGTGAAAGCAAAGTTTTATTTTCCCCAGCATGTTCTTAATTTCATCTATGCTTGTAACTCAGTTTTTCAAGTGTTGTATTTCATGCCAGGCCAAAATGTGTCTCCCATTAAATTGCAAGAAGGGATCCAGCTTGATGTTGATATGCTAGAGGAGGACTCTTAGCCTTGGGCTGCCCGGGCTGCAGTCATAGAACCCCACAGGCTGGGCCTTGGACAACAGACTTCGTGCTCACAGCCATGGAGGCTGGGAGGTCAAAGTCAGGGTGTGTTGGCAGACCAGGTGTCTCACACAGCCCCTCTCCCAGGCTTGTGGACAGCCACCTTTATGCTGCATCCTCACCTGGTCTCTTCCTCTTAGGTGGACTCCAATCCCATTGGGTCAGGGCCCAACCTTCAGACCTCACTTAACCGTCATTACCTCTTCATAGGCCCATCTCCAAATATGGACATTAGGGGCTAGGGCCTTGACTTAGAAGTTGAAGGGAACACAGACATTCAGTCCTTATGAGACTCATGAAAATTATTTTGAATTATGGAAAATTCATTTAAGATAATGAGATAAGCTCAGTTTGGTAAGCTTGGCATGTACTTATGAATAGAATAGTGCTTGTAGGTCTTGAGAGAAAAACCAAATGATATAAATAGAAAATGTCAAAGACATGAATATAAATATAACTAGAAAAAAAATCTGTAGGTCCCAAGTTGATTAGGAGTAAAATGCAGTGGTGGAACTTCTGTGATGACTCAGAAATGCCCAGTTCCCCCAACATTCTTACGGGGTCTGTTGAGTAGCGTTTCTCTCTTGCCCCAGGAAAGTGCTTGGATCCCGCATGCTCTGAGCCTTAGCTGAGTGAGCTCTGTTTGAGAGCCTTTCGGCTGGAGAAAGGCTGTTGAGAACCTGAGATGTGGTCCATCCAGAAGGGCCTCCTGTGGCCACCCTTAGCTCCCAGGCGTGGGCACACCGGTATTTCCCGGTATCCCTCGTGCTGTGGGCGTCTCCAGTGCCCGGTCACTTGCTCTCCCAGCCGGGACACGTGGCACTTCCCGCTGTTCCTTTGGTTCGAGGCCATCGGTCGGTTCTTTGATATTTTTTTTCTTTTCTTTTTTTTTTAAAGATTTATTTATTTATTTATTTATTTATTTATTTATTTATTTATTTTAGGCTTTATTTATTTATACAAGCACTGGGTACAGTCAGAAGCGCAGGAGGGTGAGAGAATTCACCAGAGCCAGAGCGGGGAGCAGAGCAGGCAGAAGGACCGAAGTGCACTGCTGAGGGGAGCAGTGGGCGGCAGGAGAGGTCTGCGTGCCATGT